CAAATGAACTTCGCAAGCCGTAGCAAATCTTGTTCAGCGAAAGATTTCTAAAATACATTTCATTCGAATGCTCATTATAATGCAGGTTCTGAAAGGTTTACGAAGAATATCCTCACCGTGCGCGTTCAGTTGAAGGAGCTGATGAGCAACACAGCCTTCTGGTACTGACAATTATTCGTGATGATGAACCTCTGATAAATGTTAACTCCTCAATAGCCGTGGATCCAACATGACCTGGGGGCATGAAGCGATTGGCCAATCGGTGCTTAGCAGATGCCCGTCGTCCAGCCAATCGCGTGGTGATGCCTAGGGCATTGGCTACATTACCTACAACCGTGGTCAGCGTTTCAACCACGAGGCTGTTTAACAGTTTAACGGTGATCGATATGACAAGAAAGATTGTATCGCAATAATTCCATTACTTCACCGTGCACTGGTTAACGTTTGCGATTGTTGACCGCACATGAATTACCGTTCATAATCGACCATGATCATCTGATAATAACCTAACCGGCTGAAACGTTGGATCAAACGCCGATCTTCGACCGGCTAACTAGATGTCACAGTCGGAATGGCGCCAGCAACCTGACACAATGACACGTTGTGAAAAAGACAAGTGATAACTGGCATAGAGTCGCAACTTCTCATAGCGATTAGGTGCAACCTCTGTTACCTTGTCGTGAAGCAGCCTATCGCAAATTGGTGGACGATGCTATTGACTGCGACCTTCACTTCTATGTCATTCATAATTGAGAAAATTGCTTCCTCAAGCCAGAGAGTTACACCGGTCATCGATCACGTGCCAACGGCAGAGTAGCTATGAAATGCAAAGAAAGTCTAATAGAAACTGAAATTAAACTCTCCCGTTTCATCTGAAACGCGCGTCCACGTAAAGCAATGAGCGGGGCAATACAAATCAAATACACCGAGACGGTTCGAAAAAGCTTGGATTCATCTGCGTCTGCGTTCTAATGGGCATTAGAAAAACTGTTTATACATAAAAATGTCGAAAAAGTTGCCAGTGGCGAGTTAGCGACTGATCGGAGAGGGAGGGACGGAGGACCGGAAAAAGAAAAGCAATAATAAAAATTTCAAACGAGGCAAATCGCACACATGAAAACAGAGCTATTGAACGCGTGACCAGCTGCGGCGGCATGCTGTTGGATGGACCCGTTGACGAAATGTACTCTAAACCTGCTTGCAACAGAAACGAATGGCCTGCAGCGAAAGCGTGTGTCGGCGTATTTTAAGCGATTGTTTTTGCGGTCACGTCGCTAGTGGCCATGCGGGGTGCGAACGAGTGCGACGAAAGCCTGCCCTCTTGTTGGCACTCGGCACTCGGTCCATGCGGGGGCCGGCCAGCGTCGAGGTAGCAGACGTCCAACGGTGCCGTTTGACGACAAATGAGGCAAAAATTGCCGCAAACAATGCGCGTGAATGATGCGCACTGTGCGTGTCAAATTGGGGGAACGCGATTATGTTTCAGATGCTATTATCGTGACTGAATCCTTATTTCGTCATGCTTGGTCGGCTGCGATCGGTGTCATCACCTGCCAGATGCTAATCACGACAGATTTCGGTTGGCTTTTGGCCGCTGAAACGTCGTG